GCGGCTGTGTTGAACACCAACAGCAACTCCACAGCTGAGCCTTCTTTTATCCAGACATCATTTTGTTTTCACCTCCGATAACAGCTGTTTAGTTCATGACCTGGGTAAGATACCTGTTCACCAAGCGACTCTAAAAATGTAATCAATTCCTCACCAAGATTACTCACTCAAAAATTATTAGGTTATCAATCACTCAACAGCTAAATTATTTCCTCTATATGTTTTATTACTATCGTTACTCAGCCGTCAGCTCAAAAGGTGCCTTACACAACTCTGAATCCACTCAACAGACGCTTAAATTAGATAGAAAATGAGCAATTGTGGTTTATCAGCAGCTAGCTTAACATTAGCCCTGGTGGCTGCACGCAACGTTTCAGAGGTCCTCACAGTGAAGCTGCGGCGGGCTTTACATATCCTCCAACTCTGAACAAAACCATGTGATCCCACAACGATGGACTGGTTAGCAAGCCAGACTGTCTCACGGCCAACGGTTGTTATTTGTCATCTGGATTGGTTGCCAAACTTCAAGATGGAGGGTCTTATGCGCCTGTCGGAGAGCAGATGCCAAAAAAACAAAAAGAGAGAGTATAAAGGAAGAACAGAGGAGGTGTTGTAACAGAATGCAGCCCACGATGGACAAATAATGACAACACTCATCTCTGAAGTATTTACCAGCTGCGACAGCAATGCTGGTATTGTTTTCACCTTGTGAGTCAGTGTGTGCGTGCCACCATGGTTAAATGTGATCCTTGAGACATGTACCGTAGGAACGACCACAGAAGTGGTTTTGAGTACTTTGCCAGGGGTTTATATGTCTGTTTGTCTGTCCGTAGACAGATTTTGTCACTGTGAAAGAGTCACAACCGTGCAAGATGTAGCCGCAAAACTTTACCGGTGTATAGTTGAGATTACATTGAAGGCCGAGTTCTAAGATGGATTTGGCCCGAGCGAGGGTGCTGGAAGTAAAGGGGGTAGGAAGTGGGAGCATTGGCCCCCCTCTTTATGCTATGTCTCTCTCTCTGCATCTGTCTTGCTGTGCCCCCCTACCTCCCCGATGCAGCATGACGCCACTTAGCAGGCCGCCTGGTATCGACAGAAATTCCCAAACCGCTCCTGCTTCCTATTAGCAAAGCATCTCCACGCTCCTGCAACACCCGTTAGCCATCCAGTCCCAGTATAATGAGTTGGCCGGGTTTCACGCCTCTCCATTTTATAGTTGATGAATAGCCGCAGCAGATGGTTTCTTATCTTTGAAGACACCAGGAAGAGGAGCGTGATGAATCGCACCAGGCCTTGCGCACGCATCGGCCCTCTCGCCATCCCCACCGCCGACGCCATCGCGCTACCCCTTCCAGCAAGAGAAGAAAGAAAAAGGTGAAATGTGAACAATATGCAGTCGACTCCTCGAGTAGAAATATAAAGCTACTGCTTTCACTTTTCTCATGCCAGCCCCCAAAAATCTTTAGACATGTCCACATTGACACTTCCGCTCCATTCCAGCTGTGTAAACGCCAATATGGCTGGTGTTAAAAACGTCCATACAAAAGACATGGGCTCATCTGGTGTAGTCATTATCCTCTTTAAAATGCACTCTCATGACAGACCCACGTCCACCCTTCTCATCAGTCACAACTTCACACAGCAGATCACAGGAGAATGGGTGCGGGGCGAGTATGAAGTGCGGACCAGTTATGGTAGCAGAAGCCGTTAATGCTTTCCTTACTATGTGAATTCTTCGCAGGCTTCTCCATTTCTCAGTTTATAAATCAATCCGTACTCTCAGGACGGTGCCATGTCAGATGTCTGCGCTCTCAACAAAGAAACCAGGGTGTGACTTTGCACACTTGTGCTGCCCAGTGGCATAAATGAATGAATTATGATTTAACTTAAAAAAAGAGAGATAGAATGAAAATGTGCATTTTCGGTAAGTAAAAAAATCAATTAATTCGTTATGTAAAAAACAATAATTCTCAACCGTTATTTTGCTGTGACAACACACATACACAAGCTTTGTTTAATGCACAACATCAGTAAGACGTTGTCTGATCAAATTGGCATGAGTGGGAAAAACAAATGGTGGAGATTGTTAAAAATCAGGTGATTGTAGAACTCAAATTTTTGCAAGAGGATACTGGTTCATGTTAATAAGGCTACCTTCAAAGACGGCGAGTTACGAACTTCCAGCACAATACGCAAACATTTCTTGTGACAGACCCTTTAACCCGAGCTTGGTGTGTCGGTCAAAATTCTAACCTGGTATTTGCCTGCTGCATTAGTAAAGTTATTTGTGTGCCAAGTCATCCAGAGCAGGTCATCCAGCAAATAAATCACATTAAAAGACATGTCAACGGCCCTCTCAAAATAGGCCCACAAAGTACCTGGTCCACATACCCTCTCTGTCGAAGGAACATCAAAATGCAGGGCTGAGCATACTCGGGATAGCTGCATTTGTAGACCTCCCGTCACTTGTAGGCTTGTACTGAAGATCTGCACACAGGGCCTGAAATAGAAGAAATATAAACCAGTGAAATGAAAATTCTGTCTTATTATGAGGTGTGGAATCCAATGCTATGTACAAAACCTGGGACTAGTAGTTTATCTCAGTGCATACAGCTCATCAATCAAATCATGCTTCAAGATAAGTTGCCTTAAGAAACTTAATATAACTCAAACTAATAGGATTTCAGGACAGAGTTTTAGGAATTGCTTGTTATCCTCCATTACTCAGTTTTCCATCACCAATGAAGTCATGTTTTAACAGGGACTCATTACTCAGATATTTCCCTCGCTTCTAAGAGCGGGAGGCCTCACCTGTAGGCTACTGTGCTCACTCACACACGCATGATGCAATGTGAAACCTTCGCCAATTCACTGGAAAAGGAAGGAGGAACTGTGCCAGTGAGCTGCCTGCAGTGCTGCAGGTGTGAATATCGGTGTCCTCGCCACTGTGATTAATAGCAATGAAATCTACCAAACACCAAGCGATCACAATGGCTCTGACAAAGTCAATCAATACGGTCTGTCAGTGCCAGGAACAAAAAAATGCGATGAGAAAAAAGTGTTGGTGGGGCCAGGAGGCTGACAGGACGACTGATTTATCACAGATGTGCATTTCTGAGGCAACGGGCGAGCAAGACTCCAACATTTGGGAAGAATTATCATTGTGGCCATTACAGGGGCACGCTCAAATGGTAAAAAGATCAGTGTGGATGCACAAGACACTCAGGCATGCATGGGTGTGCCTGCACACCAAAGTGTACACACACACACACACACACACACACACACAGTTAGCACACAATGGTGCACACAGATGCTCCGACACACCTGGCAAAGACAGCAACTTTTGCATAATATTCACAGACAGTTGTGAAAGAAGCACTTGGATCTTATTAATTAAGTAAAATTGCATTGCCAAAATAAAAATAAAAATTACCCCCATCACAAGTAAAAGCCGGGCATTCAACGTTTTACTTCAGTAAAAGTATTATCAGTAGAATATACCAAAGTATTCAAAAGTAAAAGCACTCATTACGGTGAAAGGCCCCATGGAGCCAAGTTAAATACTTCTGGACAGTGTGAGAATGGAACAAAATATATTTACTCAACTGTCCTTAAGTGCACTTTAAAGGTACTTGTACTTCAGCTCTTTTGATTTGAAGGCACTTAATACTCAACTATATTTTGGAGGAAAATATTCTTGATACTCTAATACATTTATCTGACAGCTATAGTTACTTTGAAGATTTAGATTATCAATACAAAATATAAGAAACTCAAAAATGATGATGTATCAATAATATACATCACAATACCCAGCAGTATATAAAGTTAGCCCCACATTTACCAGCTGCTAAATTAGCAATTCTCATACATTAATGCAATGATTATAATCTATTAATATAATATAAATTATTCTGCATAGTGAGTAATTTCACTTCTTGGATTTTAAGTATAATTTAATTTGAGTACTTTGGCTTAGGTACATTTTAATTGCAGGACTTCTATTTATAGGATTTCTACACTGTGATGTTGTTACTTTAAAGTAAAAGATCAGAATGTGTGCTGCTGGGAGGTTAAATATATGCTTTGTATAAAAAAAAAGTAATTAACTAGCTCACATAAATAAAGTGGAGTAAAAAGTATGATGTACGCAACATGTTGTAGAGTTGAAGTGACAAATTAAACTCTCTTACTCAAGTAATACTCAAGTAAAGTACAAGTTCCTTAAAAGAGGAATGGTACATGTACTTAGTTACTGTCCACGACTGCTCAGTTGCACATGCAGTTTGAGTTGTTGAGGTGGATTTCAAAGATATAAAACAGTTACTCTCTCACACCTGACCAGCTCAACTTCTTAATAAAACATTTGAACTAGAAGCAATTTCATCAAAACGTGTCAAAGTTCGTGGGCACTCCTAAAAATACTGTGCATGCAACAGTTAATTGTTTACAGAGCTGATGAGTGTGGTAAAAACTTGTGGCACAATTAGCCCCAATGCTGTAGTCTTTGATGGTAGTAATAATAATAATAATAATAATCATAGTGTAAGCAGAATAAGCCAAGTGACACCAGTTGCTTGCTTTCCCCTTCAAATCTGCTGACCGGTGGAGGAAATACAGCGTTCTTCTTTTACATGTAAACCTCGACTTCGCCAACAAACACTTTAAATTGAATTGTTATGGCATTCGAACCAATTACGTTATTACAGCTTGTTATAATGCGATTACAGAGCCACGATCACACTGATTGTCTCTTTAAGAAGCAGTGAGAGTGCGAGAGGAGGAGGTGGTGCGGTTTCACACCACCGGGGTGAGAAACACAGGCGGGGCCCGCCACCGCTGACTGACAGCCGCTCAAAGGCGCTCCAACACCCGCGACGACCAATGAGATGAGGGGCTCGACCCGCCCATCGAATCGCAACAACCAATCGCGGCGAGCCGTGGGAGGAGCCCGGGATCGCCGTTGTGCATCCAACGTGGGACTACGGGGAGAGAGAAAGAAAAAAAAGAAAAAAGGAAAAGTAACTCAAGAAAGGAAAAACGTCCCGGTGGCGGTACACGATCGGAAGGAGGGAGGGAGGGGAGACCCTATTTTGCCATTAACCGGATCGTTTGAGATTGTGTGACCGCAGACTGCACCTGATAAACTGTCGGATGAAGTTCTGCCGGAACGGACCTGCGCGTAAAAGCAAAAAAAGTTGGATTTATTCGACCACAGCCGCGAAGAAGCGCTCGTGAGATCTTTGGGACGACGTGCAGCGCGCGGCTTGAGAGATCAACGGAGTTTTAGGAACACTATTCCGGAGGGTCCTAACTTATTTTGCGACAACTTCAACTTCGCTAATAACTCCACGAGAAGCCCCCCCCCCCCCGTTACGTTTCTCTTCTCTGTTGATCAACAGTTACTTTGAGAGGCGCACTGTGTCCTTTTAACGTCGCGCTGGTGCATGTTTTCCTCCAACATGTCACCAAAAGACGCAGTCATCCTGTCGATAAAGTAGTTTTACCTTCACATGAACACCCACATGTTAAGTTCCGGGCGACACACAAGTTCGCTGCAGCCTCGTTTTGCTGCTTAATCTGCGGTTCACCTTTGATTTTTCTTTTTTTTTTGAGCCCGCGTCGGACACCGGGAGGAGAAAGTTGGGACTTGGAAGTGTCCTAAATGACTGTTACTGGGATGGAAGACGTCTCACAGCACCACGGTTGCTATCGCTAGCCTCTCTCGTACAACAAGACAATTTAACGTGCTTTCAGGGGCGTTCAGCCTCTCCGAAGCGACGTTAATATCCCGGTTGTGTGGGTACGAGGAGAGAGAGAGAGAGAGAGAGAGAGAGAGCACAAGCGGCCGCGCTATTAAAACTGGATACAAAATGGCGGCGTCCCTGGGACGATTTGGATATGTTTCTCCTTGTGTGTTTTATTTAATTCTGTCGGTCCAACTGCTCATCAGTCGTGGGTCGAGTTCAGATCTACCGTGTGCCCAGAACTGTACCTGCGACGGAGACTCCGTGGACTGTAGTAACCTGGAGCTGACGGCTACGCCTCTGGACCTTCCAGTCCGGACTGTCTCCTTGTAAGTAAAAACTAAAAGCGCTTGGTTGCACCGAGCCTATTTATTGACCGGCCCATAACTGGGTGACCCCGTTTGTAAAAGACGAGTAAAGTGCCTTAACAGCAGAGACACGTACTGTATATGCATAGGCGCAAATAAATAGCAGTGGACCCCTGCTGGTGCTCTCTTAATTAAAACCCTCCGACAATACGTTTAGTTCTGATTTGAGTTGCCACAATACACGTGTGTCTTTAAACTGCTAACTTGATAGTACTAGCGAGCTGTCGTGTGTGTTCCTCCTTCACCACAGTGACTTTTAAACGAGTAGGTCTCCAGTAGTAAAGTTAAACTTCTCCTCATGTCCCAGTTAACCAATTAAACGTCCTCCGGAGGTCCCTGCACCCCCCCTCCCACTACTCTGGAAACTGGAACAACAAACCAGCAGCGCGTTTGGCTCAAGACAGCCCCGACGCATGGCGTTGTAACTTGATTAAGATTGTTTATGCGGCGCATGAATTCAGTTTTCACCACATCGTTCACACCAGGACAACAGGGGGGGGGGGGGGGTCTTTAGAGTTTGTCACAGGTGTAATGGTACCTGCAGGAACAGGGACGTGCACAAACCGTTTATTTAGGGGTGAAATGCCTTGCTCAAGAGCACATTGAGATACCTAATAAACATAATAGAATACCTATATATATTGTCCTTAACATCCTGTTAGTTTGACAAATTTAAAAAAAAAAATAAAAAAAAAAGAGTTTTCAGACTTAAAAATCTCCCTTAAAACAATTCCCTGTGGCCTGTTTATCAAACTCCTCGTATAATCTTATGTTAAGTTGCTTTATCTTTTTTGTAATTGGATTAACTTCCGGGAATATTAGAGGCTACAGCTCTCTATCTTTTCCAGTCCGTACATTTTAATGTATTCATCTTTAAAAAATGCTATGAAGAAACAAACGGCCCCCTCAGGGTGAGTAACAAAAAGACTCAAACATGTCATAACAAATGAACCTCTGCTGTGTTCATGATGGTTATTACCACAATTCCTGTTTCTGTGTTTCTAGCCAAACTTCACAAATTGCATTTCTTGTAAATGAAGCCTTGGTTCCTCAGAATGAGGCTGACAACAGTTCATTTAGGAAATGAGCCAATTTGGGAGATTTGTTAATGGAACCCCCCCCCATAATGTTTAGGAGACTTTGGCCCTTATGAAGCTCAATGACACAATTTATTTACAGACAACACAGCTCTCCGTCCTCCCAATCAACATTGCGGCTCTCGCCTCGGTGTACCGCAGCCACTGTCACTGACAATGGGGCATCTTGTTATGGAACTTTAGCATCTGTGTGTGTGTGTGTTGCTGGGAACGTGGGGTTAAAGAACAAACACCCAGAGACTTCTCTGGCTCCCAGGTTCCTGTGTTCGGCAGTTTATCTTCCCCTGGGAAGTAAGGAATGTAACTTAAAAAAAAAAAAACAAGTCCTCTAAAAACATGAATAACGGCACTTGTGCCCGGGTAGCCTCGTTGCCCTAAAGCACCACTTAGCCAAGTTCGAGTGCCGACGCTGTTGATCATGCAAGTACGCAGACGCACACTGCTCCTCCTGTCCTCGTGGACAAAGGACAACTACTGCGGGACAAACGTCCCATCTGAAACAAACCTTTTTTTTTTTTTTTCCCGTTTTCCGCAAAGATGTGGTGCTCCGCGAGCCCCCCGTCTCGCTCCAAGTCTACTTCTGTTATCTCGGCACAAACCTTATCAGTCAAGATTTAAGAACCCGCAATCTTGTTGTTTTCAAAGGGAATGGCTTTATGGCTTTGGATAATCTTTTGAAAAAAACACCTAGGTTACATATTTCCACACCACTGAGAGATAGTCACATTATGCTGGCAGGTGACTCAAAGGGGAACCAGCTCTGTTCCTCCAGGGTCTGTAAAGATTAACAGATGATTACTGCAAACCCAAAGAGACAAGTACGGACAATTTCACCTGTGGCCCCAGTTTGATCCCAGTATAAAGGTACGACAGGTCAAGTCCCGTCCACCTGAGTGGATGAAATTACTTTTTGTGTTGCAGGTTGAACTTTTCTTTTTGTGTCTTGAGTTCTGCAGCCGGTGCACAAGTGTGTGTGTGTGTGTGCGCGCGCGCTGTTGATATAGCAAGTTATAGCACAGTGCATCAATAATGGCTTCGTCTTGTCAATAGAGCTTACCGGGACGGTTTGCACAATGTCCATCGCTACCTTCAGGCATCTGAGCTGAGGGAAATCAGTGTGGAATCGACTCTGTTGTGTTTACCCCAGGGAGGCAGCAGCAGCAGCAGCAGCAGTGGTAGTGGGAGGGAGGACAGCATTGGTGGGTGTCAGTAAGCACAAGTCACCTATAGGCCAGCGTTCCTCTTTCTCTCTTCTGCATAGTGTGGACGTAAAGGCTTACAAGAACACCTCAATAACCTCATACACCTGTAGGATCTGACAGAAGCAAGTAGCTTGAACACATGCGACTGCAGTTGTTACCCCCCCCCCCCCCCGTTGTACAATTACACATGTGCTTTGTACACCTACTTACAGACGTTCAGCGGCCTCTATGTTCTGCTGCGCTGTCTATAGACTTACAGCGGTTTAAAGCTAATGGAGCCGTCCCACCCTTTTGTGTGGGTGAAGAAGGATTGAGCTGTCATGTATTTGCTGCAATTATCTTTACACAGGCTCTTAAATTGGGATTACAGTAATGACCACAGCAGTAGCACCTCAGGAGCTGCATTTACACAGCTTCTGTGCTGCCTCAAGTTTTTCTTTTTACTCCCTTGAATGTGTTGAATGCACAGCTTTATAAACTACAATGCATTCTGATTAGTTTTTGAATCAAGTGTGTGTCGGGCCCCTCGTTATGCACTCTCGCCTCCTTCTCTGAGGAAGCACTGTTTTAGTCACTTTCGGAGCACTTTGTAGGAGTAGTTCTGGGAACCTTGATGAATATGTGTCATGGGGAGATGCGTGGCTAGATAGAGGCTAGGTGTCGGCAGTTCATCCACCAGTAGCAGTCCTAGAAGTCCCGTGGCTGTAGCTCCTTCCTTCAGGACTGTTAAAACAAGGGACTGTTTTAACAGTCCCTTGTGAGAAATTGGCCTTGACGAGGAATCAAGGAAACAAAGATGTTGGAGCAGACCGAGCTAACAAGGAGACACAGTGAGAGGTTGAGGGGTCGTGTGATTAATTAGGTATGGAACATACAAACGATAATTCACTTAACGAACTGACAATAGAAAATTGTACATTGCTTTATCAATTATTTATGAAGCCCCATGCCTCCCTGTGATTGGCCACACAGGGTTTTAAAGTCATAACTGTGTTTGTCAAACATATCCTTTGCTGTTTTACATCAGTCCTTCTAACGTTTAACAAACTGACCAGCAGTCTCCGATGCCTGTCCATTGTTTCTGATTGATGAATAGCCTAATAACATTCAAAGCAAGTTTGCTCTCACACAGTCACATATTCCCTCTCAGGAGTGGTGCCTTATCTCATTTGCGGCCAAGGGTAATGTGCATAAAAAGCATTTTTGCCCACAGTGCCACCGACGTAATGGGATTTTTGCAAGTAAATAAAATCACGAACATGACTAATTGTGCTGGCTGAGATTGCTGTGGTTGGATGGAGATGAAGCAGATACGCGGCGTCTGTCTGCCAGCGTCTTTACGTTTTTGTCTCATGCGAGATTGTAAAATCCTTTTTTTTTTTTTATTTTTGTCTTAATTTTTATTCCTTAAAGTTGAGTTGAGTTTACTTGCAGTAACTCCGGTGAAAAGCAAGAAGAAGCCGGATCTTGAATATTCCCGATTGTAACCCAGCATTTCCCCAAGCGGTTTCCCAGTGCGCTGGCCACAATGCGTGGTGAACACCAGACGTCCTTCCGCATCTCCAACCCCAAGCCGTAGCCCTAAAGTTCACAGCACAGCCTTATTGGTAAACACCACCCCCGAACTGTTGCTTTTGGCTCTTCCCCTCAGGAAATGGGTTTGTGTCGGTGGTTTCCTGACAGGGGCCGGGCGGGCTCTTTGGCCGCAGTTGGTCTGCAGCGGGTGGGGCTGCAGATCACCTGGCTCGGGGGGCAATATATGTGGGAAGGTGGGCGGACATTTTTTTTCCACCCACTGCATGGAAGTGTTTTGTCAATGTCACGGTCTGCTGCTGCTGCCGCTGCCTTCGGGCCGGTTCCACTAGTTGGTGAAAGTCCTGTCGGTGGTCAGAAACCTCAACCACTGTCACACATGTTGCAACACACCCAGTAAACCCAGAGGACACGGAGCATTACAGAACTGTCTGCCTGTGTCACAGACTGTCAGACAGAACTCTTTTTATTTTAAGTAGTGTTTTACTTTGTCTAACCTATCATGGTCATATCTACTGTGAGCATGCTTGTGGTTTCGAGGGTATTTCTCGTTACACGGCCTCGTAATCTTGTGGTACTGGGAGTATACCGAGTTTGTTTATTGTCATAGTTTCTTTACCCTTGTGACTCGTATCCACATGAGGATATTTTAAAGTCAAACTGCTTGGAAGGGTTTAAGATGATATTATCGTTGGCACAGATCTTTTTTTTTTTATCAGCTGCTCTTCCCTTTTTTCGACCCTTATCGGGCTGTTTGGTGTTACGCTGGATCCTAAAAGTACAGGGAGTTCCTGTATGCAAATTTAAGTAAGCAAGCGATCTATTTTATATTGTAAATTATCCTCTTTTTTTTTTTTTTAACCGATTTTGAGACGATTCATGCAAATCTTTAGCTGTGAACGAATTAGGAAGGAACAGCTACGGTTGAGCCGTTACGCTCGTAACGGATAAAGTCTCACATTAACACGGAGATATGGAAGTGAGCTCACGGCCTCTCACTGGCTTCACAATGACAATCAAACAGCTGCTGCCTCAAGTCATTTTTTTTACAGGAATCCAGTCGGCAGAATACATGGCCCTTTAGTACCCTTAAGGGCGCCAAGTTCTTTTTTGTTTTTTTTTCCCTCCA